TTCAATTGCTTTAATCCAGAAGTATCGGTCTCTAATATCAGAAATAAAACCCCTAAAACATAGATTTAGGAAATATGATGGATTTTGTTAAGATGACCTATTGGCAATAATGTTCAAAAATACCTTTCTTCTAACAAACAATAAGTAGAGACCTACTTATGTTACATCAGAACACTGAATTAAGAACTAAAGGAACAAATCTGTTGTTTAAGACACTGAGAATATACTCAAATTTACGTCATTAATGAAAGCCACAGGAAATCTTGTAGGAACTTAGAGAAATCAAAATATCTTTGTTTCCTTGGATTAAAACCAAGATAGCCATTTAGTAAATGACAAACAATAAAATACCTTGTAAAATACTGATGGAAAAGAATCCTTCCTTACTGGAATCACAGGTGTGAGATCTGAATACCTTTGAAGTTTTCAAACCATCATTCCGGTCTCTAATACCAGTCCTGGATTTAAGAGAGGCCAACCCCCTCATTCATGTATTGAACTACTGACCCTTCCATTCAAAAGGAAAATAAAACTTTTAATCCATACTTTACCCACAGTAACTAGATGAACCACAATTAAAGTAATGCTAAACAGAGTTCTAGAAACAGAAAATAGTCATTAAGAGTGGCATACTTTTGGGTTTTCTATCCCACCTCTATCCCCCACTACATCCACAGGGCATGAACATGTTAATTGAACCAAATGATGAGCATGTTCCCATCTGCAAACACATCCCTGGAGCTTCCTTTGGGTAAGGAAGCTCTTTATCAGTGTCTGGACTAGCAGGACTATAAATCAGCTACAAACACAGAGTCTTCCTGCTGCTGCTAGTCCAGTTTCGCCTCAATATTCATCCTGCTTAGCAAAAACAAGGTGCTCTCTCGGCATGAGAAAACAAAAATCCATCTTACAGTCTAGGCAGGAGTAAAGCAGGGAATACAAACTTGTCCCACTTCAAAGCACAGGGCATATCTTTCACTAACTAAACAGCAATCCCGGCAGGAGTGACAATGAAAGCTTTCTTCCCTATTATTGTTTGAAACAATCACAGGCTATTTGTTCATATTAATTAGTTTATATCTAGTATTTGGCAGCCTTTTTTTTAGAAAAATGCTCTTTGTTACCAAGTGAATAGAGTAACAAACAAAGCCAAAAGCTTTAAAAAAAAAAAAAAAATTTCTTGTTTTTGTCTAGAAAAGGATTTTTGCCTTAGAAAAAGATTGTCAGGCCTTTCACACTTGAATGTGGGCTTATCTCTTCACAAGCCCTTGAATTCACTCTAAAAGAATGCAAGTTGATGTGCCAGACAATACCAGGCTAAGCTGATCAGGGGGCTGCTTATTATGCCTCGCCTGAGGAGATGCTGTATTTCAATTACTTTTACCTTCTCTGAACCTGCGGAAAACTTGATAATAGGAAAGAAGACATCAATACAGGCAAGGGCAAGACAGTCTTGGGCTAAAGTTGACTGCACAAATTACATGTGAAGAACTGACACAAAATCAGGAGGCCCATGATCGACCAGAGGATCCTGGGAACCAAGTGACTCCAGAAGAGTACACTGCCTCTCCCCTGCGACCTAACACCCCAGTTTACAGCTGACTCCTTCCTAGCAGGCTTGAGTTTCTCCAGCTATCAGTGGCCACTCCTGTTCCTAACGTACAGGAAGAATAATGGGGCTTGCTACCCTGGTTGAGATAAATGAATTTGTTCAACATAATTGTCAAAAGTCAGGGTTTGAACCCAGGTCTAAGACTTGAAAACTACACAAGCTTCTTCGAGATTAATGTTAAATTCCTTAACAGCACTTGCAAGGCCCTGCAAAAATCTTCTCCAACCTGGTAACCTAACCCATCTGCCTCCTCTATAACCAGAAGTATGCTGATAAATAGTCAACAATGGGCTCTTAGGAGTGCAGGGCTGAGCTTGCCAATTTCCATGATGTAAATACTCCACCCCGCCTGATTTCAAGCTACAAGCATGAAGTCAATGGGCTCGCTAAATTCCTGAAAATTTAACAATCAGATATTGTGAGCCAGCAGAGCTGGCTCTAGCACATCTTTTCTTACAACCCTGTGCCCTGTGATACTGCAACTATCCTGAACTAACATCCAAATGCTGTGCTCTCTCTCACCTTGGGACATTTGACATTCACAAAGGCTATCTACTCTTCTTTACCAGAATAACTCATACTCATTCATAAGCTCCCTGGCAGGCGGTCTTCCTTCAAGAAGCCTTCTCTGATCCGCAAAGTCTCCCTGGATACTTCACTTAACTCCTAGGGCACCCACACCCTCTATTTCCTGGATCACAGCATTTGTAACACAGCATTAAATTTTTTTATTTCCTTATCTGTATATTTCCCACTAAATTTCTAAACTCTGGCAGGACAAAAGCCTTGTTTATCTTATTTATTCCTATATTCCCAGGCCTGCCACAGTGCTTGCCAAACAATACTGATCTCGATGTTTTGAGCAGTATGTGCCAGATACTGCTCTAAGTTTTACACATATAATCTAATTTCATTATAAAACAACCCTGTGAAGTTGGCTTTATTATTATTATGCTCATTTGCAGATGAGGAAATAGAGGCACTGAAAGAGGAAACCTCCCCCCATCCCCGCCCCCCATCCCACTCTTATGTGCTCAGTTAGTAAACGCTGGAGCCAGGGTTTGAACCCACGCGGTATGAATGGAGAGCCTTGTGCATCCTTCTAGACCAGGGTTTCTTGACTTTTGTTCCCACTGGTGACTTTCGAGGAGAATGTTTTCATTAAATTTAAATTCTCCCTAATGAGAGAAATTAAATATCAAAGAATAAGATTTCTTCGGGTAGATTTAATCTTCAGAGGGACTGGCCATCTCCTAAGGTCCAATTTTTGCCCTCTTGGGGGCAATATCACTCCCTCTGATGATGTATGTTCTAGACCTTTCACTATGCTTTTACATTAATGTACCATATGTTTACCCCTAAAAGCATATGGTCTTGTTTAACAGTTTTAATGACATCTTCCTATAAGTATTACTCTGCATCTTGCTTTCTTTTCCCTCCATCTGATATCCTGGAGAGATATAGCTGTGTTGAGATATATATATTTATGATTTCTTTATTGCTGCATGATATTTAAATCATATCGACATTCCTGAATGTTTTAAGTCTTTCCGCTGTTGTACATTCAGAAAATCTTGTATTTTTTGGCCTTCGACTGAGGCTTTAATGAATATCTTTATGCACTTCTCCATGGACTCATGTGTGAGTGTTTTTCTAATGTAGAGACCAAGATAGGAACAGGGTATTTGCAAATTTTAACAGGTACTGTCAAATTACCCTCCGGAATGACTGTACCAATTTATATTCCCACAGAGAATTCATCAGAGTACACATTTCCCCAAGTATTTATATTAACTATGATCTGTTTCTACCTTGAGTGGTGTTAAACATTTTAATTAAATAAGTCATTTAAAAATATTTATATTGCTCACCGACGGATAGCAGCTTGTGTAAGAAGGAAGGTGTGTGTAATAGGATAATATGATGCTGCTGGAGATGCTGACAAATGACAGCAGCAGCCCCAGGATGCTGAAATGCCTCACTCAGAAGACCTGTCCGAGGGCCCAACTTCACAAACAGCCAAGCATAGTCATTGTACAGGAACAGCTGCAGTGGTCTCTGAAATGGTGACCTCAAGCAATAAGGCACTGAATCTTTTCGGCCATTTGCCAAGGCTCTCAGGCACCAAAAACACTATTGAGGGGAATGGACACCAAATACCTACAGTAAACGAAACATTGCAGAGACAATGACCCATTTACCAGAAAGAGAAATACCCATAATGGCAGTAACACACATTATAGAAACTAATACTAAAAGCTTTAAAGTGTTAAAGTCCATTTTATATGGACTTTATCCATATAAAATGCCAAGGTCTTTTAGAGGCAAAAAATAAAAAAGGCATCTATAGTAAATAAAGTAAAAATGGCCCCTTCTCCCTCTCCTTCCTTTCCCTCCCTCACATATACATACTCCCCTACTTGAAATACAAACTACATTTAGTAGCTTGCAAAATAATACAGGAAAAAAAGTGTAGAACAACATTTTGTATCGAGATTCAAATTTCAACCAATATGGTTCTTTCTCAAAGGTATACTTTCTTCTTTATCCTTGGCCTAAAAATGATTGTCATGAATGAGATGGGAGGTCACACTTTAGGAGGAGAAGATGAAAGAACAAATAGAAAGCATATATTCTGTCATTTAATCCATAGAACCATCCCGTGAAGTACGATTACAGAAGAAATTGGAGCTAAGTGATGTTAGCATGACTCAGGCTCCTTATCCAGCAATCAGAATGTGAAATCAGGCCTAATGACTCCAAAGTCTCTTTCCCCAATGTGCCACACTGCCGGTTGAAACTGAAAGAGTCCAGTTACTACTCGAATAGATCAAGTTGTAAAATAATCTGAACAATGTTCCTGCCGTATTAGTGTTCAGAAAAAATAACTCATATTGCTGTTGTTCAGAAGTTCCTAGAATTGCATTTTCTTTTTTGGAGTTACTAGATGAACTCAAGGCAAAATACTAAAAATTATCAGAGGAGGACAATGAGACAGCACTCAGAAAACTTGTAAGATTAGATCTGTTCTAATTAGATGTATGTCCATAAACTCAAAAAAAGCCAAGAGAGGAAAAGCAGTAAATTCACTTCTGACTGTCTTGATTTGGAATTTGATGCCTAGAGTAATAGCTAAACATTCTAAGCTCTGAAAACCAAGGCCCCCGTGAACGGAAGCCAGTTCACTAAAATCACTTGCTCATTGTTCCACTTGCTTCTTGAACTAAACAGCACTGCCCTCACAAAAGCACTGTTTTCTGAATACTCACCAAATGATAATTAGAAGGATACACATGATCGCCAGAGTCAAACACACTTTCTGAAGCTCAATTTAAATATTCTGCAAAACTGTGATTAGCTTAAACCTCTGCCAGCTGGAATCACTTACCTGGGGCTGTGAAATTACAGGGGTGGAAGTGGAGGCAGCGGCCATGGCAGCTCTGTAGTTGCGGGCAGTGACCGGGCCCCAGCACTACAGCGCCAGACACACGGGAGTCAAATTCTTGTGGTTGCTGATCAGATCGCAGTCATGCTAGGAGAAACTGTGTACCTGGAAAAGGTCAGGAAAACCCACATTAGCCTACCACCACATGAGAGCGAAGTACCATGGGCCAGAAGAAGCAAAAATCCATTTTACGATGCCAACTACTGGCTTAATGAAAAGAGGAAGTCAGGAGGGAGCATCTCACATCTCAACACCAGGATTTCTGCACTATTCCCCCAAGTCATGTGAAGTCGATGTATTTTCATAAGTCTGAATCCAACTCCACATGCTAGCTACATGTTTTGGGGAGGTAGTGTCAAGTTGTGAAGATGGGGAGAATGGGCTGGGGGAGAAGCCATCCAGTTATTAAACAATATAGGAAGTTGAGTGACCCACAATTGAGAGCTGAGAGTTTACATACAAAGGGCAGAGAGAATAACACCGTCACGTGTCTTTGCGACCACCCAGTTCAACCCTGCCTATCAGCAGAGCAAAACACTGAGGGATGGAGAAGAGACCAGAGTCATACCTTTTGTTAATGGCAGAACCAGCACTAAAGCAACAACCAACTTCCAGTCTAATACGAAGCATAAGAAACTGAATGTGTTCCATGTTTATATTTCCTCAGGGAACTCAGATGCCACTTTTAAGACTAAAGAGAAGGCAAGACACCCCAAAGTTATAGAATCAGTCATAGGAATGAGTCAAGTACTCAAATGGGTGGTAGGGGCTTCAGAAGTCAGACCTCCACATGTGGAAGGAAGCGTGCACTTCTAAAATCCTTTGACATCCTCAAGGAGGGGATGCTAGATACATACACAGAATAACTCACTCTTCCATTATTAGCATGCTTATTAAGAAAATTAAAAAAGCACTAAATTCCCTGCAGTAAAGCATGGCCCAATTTCTGGAAAAAGAATGAAGTGATTGGTTTCCATGTTGCAATTTAGTGCAGAGGAAATTTTTTTTTTCATTTTAAGAATTTAAGAAAATTCTTGCATTTTAAGAAAATTGTTCATTTATAGATTGTTTCATGCCAGCTAACAAACCTTTTTATTCAAAAGGTATTTATTGAGTATTTAGGCACCCCTGCCTTTGTCTGTAAATATACTTTCTAGGTTCACCAGAATTCAAGATGATATCTGAATGCTTTTAAACTATTAGAAAATGGTACTATTAATAACAGTGAAAGTAATGGAGCAGGATCACAAGATCCAAAGATTTGAGCAGGAGTTAACAGTGAAGTTGGACACGTTATCTCAGTCCTTCGACCCCAAATCTTCTGGTACTGCTCTACGTTAGCTGAATGATGCTGAGCAAGTCACATAACCTCAGAAGAAGCATTTTCTAAAAAGTAATCTAGGTTTGGAAGCACCTTCTATGAACTTTAAAATTTGATTTTTACCCTGTCTTTGTGTATTATCTTTCATACTATAGTTTCAACAGCTTTAGGTTCTAATTGTTTAGAACTGTGGCATGTTCCTACCTGCTTCCCTCTGTTATTAACAAATAAGAAGCAAAGCTGTGGAGCTGTTTTGGTACAACATTCAACACAGAGTCCATAGGTGCCCTGAGACAACACTGCTATTCTCCTTAGTCTCAGTTTTGGGGGTGGGGTGGAGGGAAGACCTATTGTTTATCACACTGTGAATTTAAATGAACAGCCCAGGAGAAAAGTACATGTTTATTGCAGTGCCTTCTCTTTCATGATGGCTGCTAGAGTGCAGAGTCTACTCTAAGAAAATTATACATGGGGTGCTGTTTTGTGCTGAACTTATTCCTGGCATCATTTTGTGCCCACTCCTACTTCTTTACTTTTTCTTTTTCCTTCTCATGTATTTGCAATTCACGTGATCTTGCTCTATCATATGTACGGTGAACAGATGAATATATAATTAGCTTGACAATCAAAAAACAAAACAAGCGGGCAGTGAAAGTCCATTCTTAAAGACTCAGACTGTGTGCTCAGATCCAGTATCATTCCTGCCCAGATAAGTCATCAAGTAATATAACCTTAATATATTTTCAATATTCAGAGTACAGAGAGCTGCCCAAAAGGTGAATCCTGGGCACCTAGCCTGGAGTAAGGAAAAGGATATAGAAACTGATGTGACAAATATACCACACAGCATCATTGCTGAAAACAAAAGGGGGAAAGGTGGGAGGCTGAGATTTAATGAAAGCCTACTAGATGCTGAGCACTAGAGCGGTCATTTCACATACAGTTTGAGGCGGATATTGTTAACTCATTTCAAAGATGAGAAACCTAAGACTCTGAAAGGTTGTGCAATGTAACCAGAGTCACAACCACCAGAAATGAGGGAGCTGAGACCTGACCAGGACCCATGCCAGGGCCCAGGCTCTTTCCATAGACTAACTCTCTAAAGGAACAAAAATGAAGAAGAGACAGAAAGTGCCTGGGGTCTCTTTTTAAAAAATTTCAGAAAGTCCTGAAGAAAGCAAGATGAAAGTCAGATGTCCTGCAGAGTAACTATTTTCTCCAAACCCTGAAACAGAGAAGCCTATGCTCTCACCTACATAAAAATTTAATGTGTCCCTAGTTTTGATTTATGTTAAATATCCTTGAGATGCATAATAGGTAGTACAGATTGTTAGTCTGGTATCTTCAGAAAGAAAATAAGTCAGAAAATTAACTGCCTTCCCCTAAACCATTTAAGACATATGTAGTTTAGAGGCTTTTGTTGAACATTATAATTGTTGAACATTGTAAGGACATTACAAGAGCTCTTTATAAAATGGTGTGTGGTTACTTGACTCTGAAAATATAAAGGACTAAGCAATACTACCTCAAAGGGTACCAATCAGCTCTCTCCTGGGAGTGATGTCTTAAAATTACATTTATGAAATCTATTTACTTCCCAATTTATTTACAAAACTGGAAAAATTATGGGGGAACTAGACACAACGACAAAAAAGACAATATTCTAAGTCATATTGCTGTTCAATCTCTAGCTAAGTAAGCTGGCTCCTTGTGATATAATAATCCCTTGCTTTCCCAGATTCCCAGACTGTCAACTACAGATTTGCACAGAATTTTTAAAGAAATATATCGCTCTTGAACTCTTCCAAGTACCTGGATAACTGTCTTGCAGTTCTTCCCATCTGTTATCAACCTAACATTCCATTTCCTTTGCTTGAGCTCCAAGACTGCTTCAACTACAGGAAACCACAAAGCAGTGTGGGTTGGCCCCACTAACTCCAGCTATCCTTAGGTTATTACTGTTGCCCATTCTCTTCTTCTCTAGTTGTCTCCATTTACATTCTAGGTATCTCTTCTAATCTATATCATTCTTTACAAAACCACAAAGCCACCTCTAAGGCCTCTCACTTGCAAAAAATTAGCTTTGTCATTTATTTACTTGACCATTCATTCCCCTATTGTCACTGAATAAGAATGACCTCAATATCCCTCCCTACAGTTCAAAAACATATATATAAAATACAATTTACAAATAAGAAAACTACATCAGCTCATTCTTCTGTGCCAGATTACAAGAGAAATAACCAATTAAGTGTAAGAAGTGGAAATATCCTGAATCAGCCCTAGAAGCCACAGATAGATCCCAACTATTGCTTAAACCTCCAAAAATATACACTAGAAAAAATCAACATGGGAGGCTAACAGAAGGACTAAGACACCACATCACCTTAATGTGAAGCTGCAACTGTATGGACAGAAAAATCAGCAAATGATACCCCAATGGACTCATAATGATACTCCTAGTTCAGCGGAACAGGCTTGAGGGAACTGAGCCATGGGGAGTTGGAATACACTGAAAATACACTCACTCCTTAAATGGGGTTCCTGGCTCCAACTAAGCAAGTAATCTCTGGCTGTATTTACTTCTAATTTGCATGTGGCCATGATGATTGCCCCAGAAAACATGTGGGGAATAAAACACTACCAGCTGGCTTCTGATACGGGCAGCCATGCCAAGTGACAATAACCTTGCTAATTACCGAGTGCCACACCAAATACTTGAAAGAAAATCTCTGGTTCTGAGGCAAACTTCATTTTGATTACTTATGCAGCTGATGCTGGCTCCTTCCCTAGGCCTCACAGGAAGATGAATTTCTAATTTACAAATTAATCTACTATAAATCTAACCTTTTTACTTCAGCTGGACTTGAGTCAAACAGTGACTCATTTTAGTCTCTTGAAAAAACACAGGGTGATACCCAATACTGAATATGCACAGACTTTCCTAAGGATAAGCACAGAGAAAAATCTAAATACACCAAGCAAATGAAAACTGCTGTGGTTCAAGAGAAGGAAAGACTCTAAAATCAGAGCAAATATTTACTTAAGAAATAGGTGTATTACATAAAGGAAAACTTAAAAAATATATATGAGATGAGAAATGAGCCTGCATTAACCAAAAAGAAAAAAAAGAAAAATATCTGAATTATTAACTTAAATGAAGGCAGTAGATTAAGCAGAAAAGAGCATAAAAAATAAAGCAGAAAATGGTATTAGTGAAGCAGAAGATTAAACTATAGCTTGAGAGAGCTACATGGAAAAATATTTTAAAGCTTCCATACCAAAAACAGATCAAGAAAAAATACTAACTAAGGAAAGAAGAAGCTATCAATGATGAAACTAGGAAAGGATAAATTGATCCTCAAAATTTTAGAAAGATGTTTCACATATACAGGACCATTTAAATCAAATAGGAAAAAATTTCAGACCTGAAATTTGTGTATCTTGCTGCAGAGAGCTCTACAGGCTGGCAGAAACCAAGGGGAAAAAACTCTGAATCCCAAACCCAGACGGGTTCAAAAAAAATGACAAGATGTAGGAAGGCCAGAGCTATAGCTTAGCGTTCTTAGTATCTATTCTCCCTGCCAGAGATAAACAGCATCTGAAGCCAACCTTATATCATCGAAGGCCTGAGACTGGAAGAGTCTTTTCTCGGGAATTTGAACAGATGAAAAGACTTAAAAATAGTAACATCAGGAAGACGACATTGACCCACTGAAACAAAAACAAAATGCTTCAAAATTGATCATTTGAAATTCAGTAGAAGGATTGGAAAGTGAAGTTC